CCATCTGAGAATTTCTTGAATATCTCCTTATCTATCAATATGTAATTTAATGAGCGTAACCTCATTTTCCTATTACTCTCTTTGTCAGGTTCTTTCAAGAATATTTTTATTTATGCCCTCCAATCTATTGCATCTCCATTTTGTATGCAATAAATCCCAATCCTTTTCACCCTCCTTTGTACTATGGGCAATATTACTCCATATTCACAAATGGATTCCAAATTAGCACCCTTGAATACCCTGAAGCCATTTGGCCTAATTCATTTGCTAGATTGTTATACATCCTGTTAACGCATTGAAGCTCCACTTGATCAAACTCTTCCAACAATTTTTGGGCGATTTCATATTAACTTATGATAGAATCACTTTGACATTTAAAATCACCAATCAATTGGTAAATTATTAATTGGGAATCACCCCTAATAATTACATTCTTTATTCCCATTTCCATTAATCCCTCTAAGCCTACGATCAATGCTTCGTATTCCCCTTGATTATTAGTACACATTCTATCCAAAGTGAAAGAAAATTTATAAAAAATCCCTAGGAGATTTATTAAAACTATCCCTACCCAAATACCTCTAGAAGTTTTTGATCCATCAAAGTATAAAACTTAAGGTTTTAATTCGAATGAATCAATTTCCAATTCAATTTCATTAGGCATATCAAGGCATGAATGATCGGTCAGAAAGTTGGCCAATGCTTGATTTTTAACTGCCTTTTGGGGTACATATTGTATCTCAAACTTCGATAATGCCAAAGTCCAAAGGCCTATCCTTTGGTATAAAATAGGGCGAGGAAATATTTAACTAAATTTACTTAGAAACTAAGTGAATAGTCATTGGCCGTAAATAATCCTTTAGTTTTGTACATGTGAAATACAAAGTAAGACACGACTTTTCAATAGTAGAGTAATTACATTCACATTTTGTTAACCGAATGTACATTTCAAAAGATTCAATTTTAGTTTGTACCTCCTCATTCGTTCAAATGAGTGTTTTAATTGACCAAAATGGTCATCTTCTTTAATGGATTTGACCACTATGTCATCTATATATACTTCAACAAATTTCCATATCATGTCTTGAAAAATTAGGTTCATTGCCCTTTGATAGGTTGCCCCTACATTTTTCAGGCCGAAAGGCATAACTACCCATTCAAAACATCCTAAACCCCCAGGGCACCTGAAGGCAGTTTTATGTACATCTTCTTCAACTATGTAAATTTGGTTATATCCCAAATATCTATCCATAAAAGAATACATTACGTGTCCGACAGTTGAATGTAATAAACAATCCACCGTAAGGAAGTTTTCACGAGAACTCTCCCTTTTTTGTTGAGTATTACTAGGATTTTCAATATTTTTACCTTATGGCCAATAAAGATTTGGGTGTTGCTCTCAGCTTGGATTGTATATTTGCTTATAAGTATTATATTGTTCGTATTGTACTTGATCGCCCAGTAATGTCAATAGTAATCCCAATGACAAATTATCCTCATCAACTTCGTTTAAACCTTGTACTTGGAAACATAGTAGTCCCTATAGTACATTCAAGGGAAAGTCATAAACATTAACTTCATCAAGTGCATCATATCTCTTCATTTTAAAGCGTGGTAGGTCGGATAAATCCCTCATAGGCATGTCATCTTCATCAATTTCGGGACTTCCCATATCATATTATTGTTGTATTCTTATTTTCTTTCATTCCTTATCAACGAAACCAAGAGAAAGAAAATATATCAGCTGAAAAAGAAAAAAAGAAAAAAATTATATCAAAATTAGAATTAAAAATAAAACAAAAGTAAATAAATTAGTCCCAAACAACGATGAGCAAGTGTACGAAACATGACAAGTAATAATAGTGGATGATGAGTTCAAGTATCATATTCACTAGGGCTAATTAGTATTTACTACTAGTTTTATCCTAATCTAGCTTCAATATAAGTTTATTTAGTAACCAATTATCATATTCAAGTGTTTATATTTCTCACTAAATTGATCTAATCTATGAAACCTCAACAAGTTTGTGAAACCTTTCGGGATTAAGTAGTTAGTAATTTCTATTTCACTTAGATTATTTATCTAATCCAAATTCATTCAACCCTTTTTCATATATATTAACAATCGAATTAATCAATTTTATTTAGTAATCTTTCTCAAGCAAAATTAACCCTATTCACATGCTTTGATTTACTATATTTCAATATAAATTTATACACACAATAAAGGATTCTGTTTTTAATAACTTAATTATGATTGCATAAACTATAAAGGTATCTCTCGACCTCTTCTCAAGATTTATGTTAATTATTGCACGAGTTAGATAAATATATCTCATATCAATCACAATATTACCATTAAACCATGTAATTGGTAATCAAGCCATTGAACATCAATTAAGCACGCAATAAACAATTAATGCATGATCAAATTTATTGAATTAAATAAAATATTAAATTAAGCTGCATCGTTCATCCTAAAAACAAGAAATTTAGACAATCATATTATTGAAATGAAATAATGAAAGGATAAAAAAGTTCAAAAGGTCCAATACAATGATTAAAGAATAATTTTTGGCACCCATATTCAACAATGATCTTCAACTCTTCCTTAATTAATTGTATATATTATGTCCAACTGTATTATTTAATATTCAAATCCAAAAATTGAGGTACAAATCTTGAAGAATTTATGTATATGAATGTGTAATTTAACCTCAAAATTGTATCTCTCGTCTGCCCCTTTAATTGAATGAAATGAATCCTATTAATAGACATCAATTCAGGTCTAATATAGAGTCTCAAGGTAAAATCCAAGAACTTATCACATACTTCATACTTTGTTCCTTATATATGGACTCTCTCTATAATTATCCTCATCGGAGACGAACGACAGACTGAGCTCCGCCCTTAGTGGAACAACTTGGAACCATTGCCATGGGATAATTCATACTAGCATAAAATCATTGCAAGGGGGTAAATCTTGCCCGCATGGAACCATGGCAAGGAAAAAGACTTCACAAGATCATAAGGGGTTCAATCGAGGGAAGATACTTAACCAAACAACATCAGAGCTCAACGAGACTTAAAATTGAGATCGATTATTTCAAAACATCTTTAGCAACATCAAGTATTTATGTTTCGGACGAGTCGGACACAATAAACAAGAGTTGAGCCACACCAATTTACAATTGATAAAAAGAAAGAGGAAGAAAAAAGGAACAATATATCTCATATAGCACGAGTTACATAAATGAATTCGTTGCACACAACAATAATTTTCTAACTTCAAACTTCACAATGGATAAATAAATCACTTGTTGCATTCTCAATGACTCTACTTTATTTAGACAGCACTCAATCAACAAAATAAAGAACATACAATAATTGATAATAATGAATTAACTGAAAAGAGTTATATTAATTAATGGCTGAACATATTGATAAGTGTATTTTCGACACTTATTCGGGGCTTAAAACTATAGACTTTTATTGATTTTTTGACAAAATTTTACATAATTTATGTTATATTGCATTGTGTAGGTAAAACTTTATGTTTGATGAAGGATTGGAGAAAAGAAGCAAAATATGGTTAAAAATGGTAAAATCCAAAGTTCGAGGATCAAATTACAAATACTCAAGAAGATAATTTGAAGATTGCTAGGAGACAATTGGATTGAAATTAGAATTCAAAAAGGAATGGAATATGATCAAAGTATTATCAAAATCAATTTCCAATCGCTCAAGATATATTCCAGATTTTTAGCCGAATATTGAGACCCATTTTTGGCAAAGTAAACGTCCGAATTGGAAAAACTCTATTTCAATCAAAGTTGTAGCCCTTTAAATTATCTTTCCAACGCACTTTGAATCGCATCAATCGGATATCAGACGAGAAAGTTATGACTAAAATACGGACTGCTGTGCAGAGACAAAAAATCCGCGCGCGAAGGCAACTTTCCTTATTTGATTAGAACTCTTTTGGAAACCAATTTGGACGTGATTTTCAACCAATTTTCGGCTCTTATAAAGAGAGAACAGTAGAATACATATGGAGAACCTCCCTAGACCTAAAAATCTCTATATTATACATATTTTGGAGACGAAGAACGTGGCTAACAACGTGGAATCATGACGAATTGCATAGGATATTGAAAATTCTTCATCCGGATTCAAGTTTCACATCAAGAACGTGGATTTTTCCAACTTCTTCCATCTTTCTTATTTTCGGGTGATATTTTTCCAATTATTCTTGTGTAATTTAATTTCTACAATATGCTAGGCTAAATTCCCTTGTATTGGATGGATGATGAAACTATTCGATTATTAGTTTTTATAATTCGAGACCACGTGTTTTTTAATTTAATTCTTGCTTTATGATTTCATAAACATGTATGAATTCATTGTTTTAATGTTTGCGCACCATTAGGACAATTAGTTGCTTATTCGTAGTGTTGGAAAACTCACGGTAGGTACAACACTATTTATGGAACACACGGACAATAAATATTAGGGATAATATTTATGGCGTGTGCGGTCATGTTTGATAATCCTAAACATCAATGCATGCTTGTCATATGAATTCGGACTAGGAATAGGATCGTCTCGTGGCAATCATAGGTTTATTATATTTTGGGAAAGAATAGTAAATGAAAGTGGAATTATCGATCGTCCCAATTGCATGAATTGAATTAATTATAACTGGTTGAGAATTGAAACTAAGAATTAATTAGCGGATTCGAAAATCCAATACACTCCCCCACATTTGATTTAAATACATTTTTTTTATTGATTTCGTAGTTATAAAACGTAGTTAAATTCAAACCAACTGTCTTTTGTTACACTTGCGAATTTAAATATATCGAATACACTAAAATTAACCTTATTCCTCGTGGGACGATAACTCACTCATCACGATTATTACTTGTACAACGAACTCGTACGCTTGCGAGATTTTCGCCCAATAATTGATAATAATGAATTAACTGAAAAGAGTTATATTAATTAATGGCTGAACATATCCTCCTGATTTCACCTCTATTGCCTGTAATCACTCCAATTCTTCCCATCTTCACCATTGAAGCAGCAAAATCGTTAAAGAAGTTTGATCCACCTGAATTTGCCTGCCGTAGAACGTATTGTCGTGTTGCATTGTCATTCAGAAGTGCTGCATCGGCCTCAAATAATCCTCTTCTTTTCCTGACAAGTGTGTAGTAACTGGTGTCGAATGTTTTGGCACTTCCAGGATCCATTTCAACGATGGAAGTCGCGTCTGTGGGGCTACATTTGCTCCTCAACCGTACAATGTAGTTGGGATCCAATGAAGGGTCCGTGTCACCTCGGCCCGTAAAATTGTACAACCGGTTTGAGAAGCTATTGCAGTGAGAAACACCGATGGTATGCGCTCCTGAAAGGAAATTGTAAGTTTTAGTTTCTAAACGATCTTCTAATTGAATTCATTCCAAAGGATAAAAACAAGAAGCAGTTAGTGGGATTCCTCGTCTCTCTAAAATATTTGTTTGGCTCAGAGCTTCAGATACGTAGTAAGCTAAACTAGTACTCACAAATAAGCCACCCACAATGAATATGGCAGATGAAGTAATGATATGACTTATGAGTGATGAGTATCGAATACTCATGAAAATATAAGCGGAAGAACATTCTCTCCAGTGCTTTTTCTCCCGGACATTTTTCCTAATTGTTTTGAGATTATTTTTCATATTACTTTAACAGTGCAAATGGTAAGAGTTACTTCTAACATTATAAGTAGGATCATGCCCTTAATTTGTAATCCTTAGGCGTAAAAGTTATATAAATTCTATTTAAGCAAGTTTGATTTTATGAAAGAAAAAATAAATTAACATGATCCTCATTTTTTTTTTTTTTTGATATTGAGTTCTTGAAATTGACCTGATAAGACTGCTAGCTCTTTATCACTTAAACCCTTTGAGCGGAATGATGCTTTGAGTTGAGTGATGTTGGCAAAAGGAGGGGGCAAATTGGCCAAGGCATCCGATGATCTAGACACTCTTCCGTCTCGTCGTCCTAATGGAACTTGCCAAGAAGGTCCATTCACCTGTAAATTATTATGTAATTATAATCAGTAAACAGCATATGTGCACACATGAATTATTTTCTTTTTGTCAAAAGTCTGACACGCGTGTATTTATTACCAATGTTACTGCATCTCGGGCTACTAAAGCGAGGATATCAGCACACGAGACAAGAGACGGGCATATATTCTCTACGGCAGACTTGACAGCATCAATAACCTGGAAACCTCTGATGCTCTGGTTAGGGATTGCATCCTTCTCAGCCTGGTTTCCCGATGTAGAGTTTATTAATACAGATCCATCACATCCCTGCCAATTCATTATACAAAACATATTATATCAGACTTTATGATTTCTCCTACACAGACATGCACACAAAATTTTCACATTTCTTTAATACTGAATTGCAACATTATTACTTCATTTACTAACTAATTTATTTCCTACTAATTTGTTACGCGAAGATTTGCAAGGGAAAATGTACGTGGAAAAGTGATCGTCTTACTAAAGATGATGGTAAGATTTTATGTTCTCACTAGAGTTTTTCACTTTAGTAATGCTTTTAAATCGGAACAACCTTTTGGCACTTTGTTAATTGTAACATTAAGCTAGATAGGTCTAGGCAACATGGTATAACTTTAGCATGTCAATTCCGAACTCTAAATGAATACAATATGTCATTGAATTAATCTCCTTGTGTAGGGAGATTGTATAGGAAGCATTACATGGAGACAGGTGGCAACAGTGCACTCGCAGAGACAAAACTGTTTTTTGTTCAAGGTTCAATGAATGGTTGCCACCTGTCTCCAATGCTTCCTGTACAATCCCTTGTACATGTAGCCTGGTTGTATGTTATTTGTGTTAAATGAAAATACCTACACATTTATAATTCTATTAAAAAACTTTCAAAAAGCTATAAAGTGTATATATCATTAACATACGCACCCTAACAAAACAATCGTGAAAATGCATTCTCAGCAATGCAGGAGCAAGTGATGGTGCTCGGGATATGAAGCTAGCGGTCGTGTTCTTCACAATCGCTTCGATAGAAGGACATGTGCTGTTGTAGAACCCTACTCTTAGGGATTGTGCATTAATCCCGTCGAAAAGGAAAACGTGTACACAAATAAGTTGAAGAAAGAAAACTGAAAGTAGCTTCAGGATTGTCATAATTCAATCCCTTAATAGATTGATATATTTTGCTTCTACTTCGTGGTACAAATAGGGCCAACGAAAAGCCCTTTATATACTATAAGAGTTTGAAGTTTTCATGACAGAGCTGTGATTGCAGAGTTCGCAGAAGCAATAGTATATTATTGCAAAAAAAGCTAGCCACGACAATAATGTTTAACTTACAAAACCTGATTTACTTCGAAACTTAAGAGTTGACAATCAATTATTGTTTGTTAAATATGATGCACATGGTTTGATTTCTTGCATTTTAAACTCAAAAGATTCTTAAGACTGAATCCCCACTAGCTAGGCATAACGTGTGTAAAGTCTAGGTATTAGTTACAAACCCAAAATAATTCAGGCTTTATGCATGTAAATCCTTTTGAGTTTTTTCAAGTAAAATTCTTATGCAAGTAGGTTAACAACAAATTAAATCTCATTCTCAGTAAATTTAAAGTCAAGTAAAAGAATATTTTGTGTCACTTCTTTGAGTTCTTTTATTAGATTGATTTAAAAATTATAAATTACTAGATCCTTAACAATTAACACAAACTATGTTAGTACATGTACGTATTATCAAGAACATGTCATATTTATGAATGTACTACCGAGAACACAAACTATGTTAGTATACACATCTACCTCGTGACATGTACGTATTATCGAAAACACGTCATATTTATGAATGTACTTTCGAGAACATACATCTATTTTAGTATGGCCACATAGACAATCTAACATCGTCATTTAAAAGTTCGTTTATTGACAATTCATTTGTTAATGGTCCTGCAGACACTAACAGAATCATCAAGTATATCAGATCTACTCACCATTTTGTGCAATTGAACGTAATACAAAATGTTGAGATGATTTGAGAAAACAGATATGCTAAAGAATAAGCACTTATTTTTGAATCCTTATTAAACATATGAAAACAAACAAAATTTACACAAAAGATATATCAAAGATTAAAAAAGTACAAAATGTCAATTAATTTCGCAAATTAGAAAGGTTGACTTTTCAAGATTATGGACGAAACGTGAGGAATCTTGCAGATATATGACAAAAATTAATCTTAAAAAGTACGAAGCCAACTTGAAATTCTTCCCTTGTTGAGGTCATAGAAGCCAGTTTTCAAAAAGTTCAGTGTAATTGGTGCCCCTTTTTTTAGATTAAAATCAGATTTTTTAGAATATTTTGATAAAAATTGATGAAATATGTGGTTGAAAAGTTATAGACCCCATAAAATATCTGGTTAAAATTAATTGTTGACTTTACTTATAATCGGAAACAAACGGGCCTTAAATTCTAAATTGTACGGACACGAACATATTCAATCCACACACAATCTTTCAATCATTTTTTAATATGACTGTTGAGTTGGCATGCGTGTTATATTTCCCACATTCTTTTTTCTTAAACAAATTTTCAATATAAGAAGACTTCATATCACGACATAAAATTCTACATTATTATGTGATGAAGTGGAATGATAGAAAAACTAACCATGTGATCACAATTTTTAAGTTCATCATGTTCTGTAGAAATCCGAGATTGCGTCGAAAAAGAGGGGAAGCAATGCCCAAGTTGTGTGCTACTTCTAATAAAAAACAACCGACAAATCACACCAAGGTTTCTCAAAAGTGTACCCTATTTTTAATGTATTAAAGTTCTTCATCTGTATTTGTTGTCACACTATGTCCCCGACTTTTTATTCACATTTTTATTTTCGATATTTGTTAAATAATTGAAGGTTGAAAATAAGAATTCGATAAATTAGAGACACAAGTGTGACATAAATAAATGTTTAGAAGCCTTGAATACAATTAAAATATAATGTAAATATAATTAAGGTGGTTATATTTACACCATATTAATTTCTCACAAATGCACCGCATTTAAATTTCATATAGGGTTCCATACCTTTATTAATTGTTACATATAAGTCCCCAACCTTTTTTCGTCACATTATTATCGCTAACACTTCTTAACTAGCTATGTTGTCTCTCATTCAAAATTTATGTTATTGTGTTTTAAAATGAGGGTCAAATATTTAGTTGCAGTTTTATATTTATTGATTTTTCTTTTGCTTATATAAATATATGAGGGATCATAAATAAGTTGTTTATTCCCACTTTAACATAATTTTTAACGCAAATAAAACATTTATAATGCGATAAAAATAATGGAAATAGAACAAATAGTCAATCTAACACAATGAATTACTAATACTCAGCCTCATCCACACAATAATATTGTCCATGAATTAAGCAATTACAAGCTCACATGTAAATTATTTTCTCTATTAAAAGTAGAGTGACCAAAATACAACATACTCATTAGTTCAGCATCGGAACAAGTTTTAAGCACATTTTTGGTAAACTTTAAAAAATCATATGCATTTTTTTTTTAAATTTTATTATTTGTATATTTAAGCTAATAAATAACATTGCATAATTACTACTACATTTTCATTTATTATTTCATTTGTCGCTCTGTAATTAAAATATGGTATACCCATTGGTTGAGTGCGTAGACTGATTTTTAACCTCCAAGAGTTTAGCATCACAATATTTGATACTATTCCAAGCTAAACTTTGTAACTATTAGAGTAAGATATTGGCTGGTGATATTTACACGATCCACTTAATAAGGCAAGGGCAATCATTCCCTAACGAGCCGGTTTTATTAGGTTGAGTTAGACCTAATATCTTTTCTAATATGGTATCATAACATGCCCAATTTTGCAATGTTTGGTGCACCCAATATCGATTTGTTCGCAGTTGTTTGGCATGGTTCACGCTGTGCGTAAGGGGACGTATTAGAGTCCAACTTTGGTTGATGATATTTACACGATCTACTTAATAAGGTGAGTGCAATCCTCCCCTAACGAACCGATTTTGTTAGGTTGAGTTATGCTCAATATCATTTCTAATAGTAACAACTCCCAAATGATCGATTCACCACTTATTATCAATTATTTAAAGAGATAATGGTCTATCAAATACCATCTCCATTTCAAAGTTCTTATTCCGCGATGCAAGAAAAATGGTGGATATAGAAAACATTGTGCTGACATTTGCGTCAAACCTGACACGACGAAATATGACCTCAAGGATATTTTAGTCATTTTCCTGAAATAGAACTGCGGGCTCAAGACTACAGTTATCATTTTTGGTTTCATTCTTGAGTAGCTTTTACCTAGAGGTCGGGACAAATTACTATTCTTTTTTCAACTTGTGCTTGAACTACTATAACATCAAGCTCAAAGCTTATGCAACGACTCTCCAAGTACAAGAGTTCACCTATAATTTTTACTTATGATGTTCGTATAGACGATCTTTACTCAGTTTGTAGTTCATTAGTTCACTCATTATAGTTATGTTTTGAAAGTAAAGGCCATTGATTCTAAGAGCTTCAGGATGTTGACTTGCACTTCACATGTAAAAATAATTTTATGAGATTCAAAAGATTTAAAAATTAGAAACTAAAAAACAATGAGGTGTCATGAGCAAATTATTTTAAAGTACCTTTGACATTCGATTTGACATTATAACTGAAAATCAAAATGCAAGTAATATGATCTGTTTTTCAAAAATCAAAAATTAATTTTTTTATATCAAATTAAACTCAAGTATTAATTTTAACCGCACATTCACAATTTTTATCCGTTTATTAACCACATATAATCAGACAATGCTACTCCGCCTAAAAGGCTATATTTTATTATTTTGACAAAAAAGAAAAAACAGATCCAGTTATTACTTGAAACCGTAATATTTAATAATCGAGAAAGAAACAAACAACCAGCTGGTCAAACCAGAAGCCGTGACTCGGATACAGGTTAGTGTTATTGTGAAAAATTAACGTGGAAATTACAGCATGACCATTTTTTTAAAATTCAATGTCAAAAATAAAATTTAAAAGTTTTTTATACAAAAATTAGATGATAATTCAATTTACAAATTTTAAATAATATATTAAAAAAATTAAACACCTCACCCCCACCCCACCCCAAACCAATTTTAATTTTTTTTTTTTCATTCTTTCTCTAACTTCTCTATTAATTTTTTTTCCTTTCACGAGCACTCACAAAGGCGACATTGCTCGTTGCTGAGAGCATAAACAAAGCGACAAACTGAGAGTTACGCTCATTTCATCGCTGCAACGGTGATCTAAGCCTCATTGCAGCTATTTTGTGATGGTTTGCAGCGATCTTGTGGTGGTGGTCACAAGTTCATAAAATGTACATCAAATGTTGTGCTGATATCGGGTAGTGGTGTCAGTGGTGGTGATAGGTCACATGTCACATATACCAAGTCAGAGATCATTGTGCATAGATTACAAGTAAATTTCCACAGGTCACAGATCATGTTTGCAGGTTACATGTCACATTACACAAGTCATACGTCTTACTGTATAGATCGCATATCAATGTTAACTGTCACAAATCAAAATTAACTGGTCACAGATCATATGTCAAATGTCTTTATGCATTAATAACAGGTCACAAATCCAAGTTCGCATGTTACAAGTCGTAGGTAACAACTTACAAGTCACATTTCATATTACATAGGTAGCATATCAATGACCACAGGTCACGGATCTAAGAGAATTTGTCATAGGTCATTAGATTAATATCATATGTCACAATTTACACGTCAGATCACATGTCACAATGCATAGGTCTCATGTCAAAAATTCAAGAAAACTAGTTACATGTCCTTGATTTCTCCGACCTTAGTTGTCACGTTGTCTTCAAAAATTCTGATATACAATGTCGACAACTTTCAATTTGCGACCTCAATCGTTTAATGGGTTTCAATTAACTAGATTTCTTCGGTGAAAATCAAAGTTATTAATTTGCTCTAGTAAAGTTTCTGTAGATTCTTTCTTTATTCGATTTTCTGATACAGTGCTCGTAACTCCCAATTTACGACTTTAATTGTCTGGTGGATTTCAATTGATCAGATTTCGACGATGAGAATTGAAATTAT